GGTGGCCAGACTGACGTGACTGTTCCTGTGGCTGCATTGTTGTGATTATATCAGGAACTGATGATATCTCAGAAAAATTGTATAAGGGCTGCAAAATGGGAATGTAGATCTGTAAAGGACAGGACCTTGCTTAGGCTCAGGTGATGGTTGAGAGGTGGATCAATGCTTTTTTGTTTGTTTCTTTTCTTAGACTGTCATGGTTTTGGTAATGAAAATATTAGAGATGAGGCTGAGATTTAAATATCTCTCCTCATTTTCAGGATTCAGGAGTTTATCTTTTCCAGACAGTTTCACGTTGGCTGATATAACCCGATATTTAAAGTTCATTTAGAGGAACTTAGATTTAAATGGACAATGTCTGCAGGACTAGTTGAAAATCAGAACACAATATATAGTCTTGTGGCCATGAACACAGTCTAAAACTGGATTGCTTGGGCTCAAGTTGCATGTGACATTAGGGGTGTATTTAAATGTTTTGTCCCCATTTCTGCATCTGTAAAAAGGGGAAGATAGAATCACCTCATAATATTGTTGTAATGAGTGGCTGAGTTAACACAGAAGGTGGCATGCAAAAAACCCTAGAAGGAAAAAGATAATGTCCCCTGCATACAGGACATCCTACCAGTTACCTCTGCTTTAGAAAGTAAACCTAAGCAACGAGCTTGCTACATAATTTGATGTGATGGTGTGACTGGGAACTCCCCAAAAGTTCTAAGAAGAGGACTCTTGGGTGACACGATAAATAATGAGGAAGTTGCTGGACACCGAGTTAGGACGAGGTTCGATATCAAGACTCCACCCTTGCTAACTTTGCCTTGATGGAAAGGAAAATCAGTTATGTGCTGTGAATTCTGGGGAATCTATTAACAGATAGCTATTAAAAATAACTATATTTAAAATAGTTCTCCCGTGGGTTTCTTGGTGGTGACTGACTGAGATAATATGTATGAAAATACCATTTACCAAGAGGGATAGAAGTTTATCTGCATATGTATGGATATGTGTGTATATGTGTGTGTGTGTGTATATATATGTATTTCAGAAAGCTTGTAGAAAAATGGAATTGAAAGATAAAACAAATCTTTCCATGAACATTTCAAAGTACTCTAGATACCTATTCAGGAATAGAAGCACACATACACGTGTATAATGACGGTACTTCAAAATGTTTGTGGAAAGATTTGTGTTATATTTTAATCCTATTTTTCCATGATCTTTTTGAAATACTTGCACATATATTTATACATATATATAACATGCAGATATTTCAAAATATATACAATATATACCTGTATTTATATATTATTAAATAATTGTTAAAGACCCACTAACATCATAGTATTTTTAATAAGTATAGCTTTTCCCAATTCAGTGACATACATAGATATAGATATAGATAAATATAAAGATATAGAGATAAAGACATAAATATCTATATCCTAAATTGGAGTTTAGAAACAGAACCTCAACTTGAGCAGCAGTAATTTATTGTAAACCAGAAAGTCATTGGCTTTGCCAAGATTGTATTAAT